TAAACATAGTTGTGCTGGTAGCTTTAGTGTGGTCTTGTTTGTGAACATTTGGGTAAATGCCCAAAAGTGGGATTGCTGGGTCATAGGGGAGCTCTGTTGAGTAGCTGATAAAGATTTTCTTCCATTCTGCAGGCTGTCTCTTGTGATATTTGTTTCCTTTGATGTACAGAAGCTTTTTAATTTAATACAATTCAATTAGTCAGTTCTTGTTCTTATTTCTTTGGCAATTAGAGTCCTATTCAGAAAATAATTGCTTATGCTTATATCTTCTATTGTTTTCCTGTTACAATTTCAAAGTTTCAAGTCTTCATTAAAAGTTTGATCCATTTTGAATTAATTGTTGTACAGAGTAAGATATGGGTCTAGTTCCAGTTTCCTACATGTAAATAACCATTTTTATTGATGGGTTTGTGTATAAGTTTGGCTTTTTCATCACAGGTCAGATGGCTGTAGTTGCGTAGACTTATTTTAGAGTCATATATTCTGTTTAAGTTTATCTTCCTATCTGTTTTTATGCCAGTATACAATGCCATTTTTGTGACTATGACACTGTAGTATAGATTAAAATTTAACATTATGATACCTCCATTGTTGATCTTTTTGCTGAGGGTGACTTTTGCTATTCAGGGTCTTTTATGTTTTCATATGAACTTTAGGATTGATTTTTTTTCTGTTTTTATGAAGAATATCATTAGGATTTTGATAGGTATCACGCTAAATCTGTAGATTGCTCCTGGTAATACAGCCAATTTCACAATATTACTTCTGCCATCCCATGGACATGAGAAGTCTTTCTTCTGATGTCTTCTTCAAGGTTTTATGGTTCATTGTAAAGCTTTTCTACCTCCTTAATTAAATTTATTTGTAGAAGGTTTTTGGAAGCCATTGTGAATATCTCTGTTTCCTGATTTCTTTCTCAACCTATTCATTGCTGAAAAGCTACTAGTTTTGTATGTACTATTTTATGGGAGAGGTAAAGAAGATAATTCCATACTACATCTTAAAATAAAATTACAGTGTTTAGATTGTCAAAGGGCAATTAACTATGGTTACAATAGAGTTCTCATACTAGGGACTGTAGTTAATTTCTCAGCCATGCTAAATTGTAATCATTGTTGTCACATGCTGCCAAATGATAAGCTCCAGAAGAAGATATGACAGTAACTCCTTCCTGAATTCCAATTTCAATTTTTTTACATTGTAGCTAATCATTTATAGATTTGAAGATAATATTCTAGAAACAAAACTTGCCACAATTTAACTATTTTTTAAAATAATTTAAGAAGCCAAGCACTAGTGGCTCATGCCTGTGATCCTAGCTATTCAGGAGACTTAAGATCTAAGGATCGTGGCTCAAAGCCAGCCCACGCAGGAAAGCCTGTGAAACTCTTTATCTTCAACTAACTACCAAAAAGCCAGAAATGAAGCTGTAGCTTAAGTGGCAGAGTATTAGCCTTGACCACACAAAGCTCAGGGACAGTGCCCACGCTTTAAGTTTCCAGTGTGTGCTTGCATGTGTGTGTGCACACAATTAAAAAGTCATGTTTAACAATAAATCAAAAAAAGTCTAGATAAATGGGATTGCATTAAACTGCAAAACTTCTGCATGGCAAAGGACATAGCTAGCAAGATAAATAGAAAGCCCACAGATTGGGAGAAGATCTTCACTAGCTATACAACAGACAAAGGTCTCATATCAAAAATATACCTAGAGCTCAAAAAATTACCCCCCCATAACACATCCCCAGAGAAACAACCACCCCATTAAAAAGGGGTTAAAGAATTAAAAAAAGACTTCTCTGGAGAGAAAATAAAATAGCCAATAGACACATGAAGAAATGCTCAGTGTCGCTAGCCATAAAAGAAATGCAAATCAAAACCACCTGACCCCAGTTAGAATGGCCATTATCAAAAAACAAATAATTACAGATGCTGGCTGGGATGTGGCCAAAAGGGAACACTGCAGCACTGTTGGTGGGAATGTAAGTTGGTTCAACCACTCTGGTAGGCAGTATGGAGGTTCCTCAAAAGACTAAACATAGAACCCCTTTATGAACCAAGAATTCCACTCCTGTGTATTTATTCAAATGATCTCAAACTAGACCACACTAGAGCTACCAGCACAACTATGTTCATTGCAGCATTATTTACCATAGCTAAGATATGGAACCAACCTAGATGCCCCTCAGTAGATGAATGGATCAAGAAAATGTATCATATTTACACAATGGAATTTTATGCTTCTATCAGAAAGAATGACATTGCCCCTTTCATAAGGAAATGGAAAGACTTGAAAAAAATGGGTATTAAGGGAAATAAGCTAGACCGAAAGAAACATAGGCTCTATGGTTTCCCTCATTTGTAATAACTGGTATATGCCTAAGTTAGTCCTGACAGAGAATCATAGTAGGTCAAGAGCTATGTACATATGGCCATATAAAATGATGCTAATTAAAATGAACTCCAAGACACAGAAACAACAGATCTTTTTTTTTCAGCTGTCAACCTTGATATCGCCAATGTACTGTATCTAGTTCTTTCTTTCTCTTTCTTTCTTTCTTTCTTTCTTTCTTTCTTTCTTTCTTTCTTTCTTTCTTTCTTTCTTTCTTTCTTTCTTTCTTTCTTTCTTTCTTTCTTTCT